ACCACCACAGCAGCAGCAGCAGCAGCAACAACAACAACAGCAGCAGCAACCACAACCGCAACAACAGCAGCAGCAACAACAGCAACCACAGCAGCAGCAGCAGCAGCAACAGCAAAAACCAACTGATGGTGAGTTATTTTTAAATTCTATTTTGTGTTTTAATACATTGACTGCCGATAAATATTGTGGAGTATATGTTTGTTTAATAACAAGCAAAATTTTGTAGAAATGATGATCAGTACAGAAGGAAGTGTATTTCTTTAAAGTAATACAGTGATCATCGTATCTGGGTTAGGTCTCAGCACCACAGCAAATCTTGTTTTATCTTCTCATGCAAATATAATATTTAAAGTTAGAAATCAGTTTATGCATCACAAACGTTTATAATATTTCAAAATTGCAAGGAAGTCTTAAATTTAATGATGAAGTTTATGTATTTTTGTTGCATGATTAGACGATGCTTGAATATTTAGACTATGTTATAGAAATGTATGCTTATATAATTCTATAACCTTGAGCAGTTGTTTTAAACTGTAAAGTATATTGTTCTCTTGTTTATATCTATCAAGAAATGATATTTCGTTGCCTTCATGATTATTACTTGTTTTTCAGTATTTTTCTTTCAGTTTTGCGTATAACCTTTCCTAACAACATACGTATGCTCATAATAAGTACTCGAGAGGGTAATAAAAAATCCGTAGGTATTTGATTTCCCCGTATCATTAACAACGTTCGTTGCCAACATCATTTTATGCTTCGCACTTCGATTCCGCTTCGATTTTCGCGTGAAGGAAACCTTAAACGTTCGAGCGTACGAAAAAGATCGAATTGGTATAGGTTAGGTTTCGAGTGTCGAGATCCGATAATTTCCCTCCTCTTTCCCCGTGTCAGAATCGTTTGAACTTTGCTTCCGTGATAGCTTTTAACAGCCGTTATAGCCCGTAATTCTCGATGTAAATATTCATTAGCTTCCAATTCGATTGGTATGTCTTTTCTATGCGTCTTTGAAGTATTCACTTGGCTCCGAAATTGTTAGGCATCGTGACACGATCACTATACGTACCCGAGAAGATGCCTTTATATAGGCACGTGTGTACGAGCGCTTAAGAGGAGATACGTATCTTTAAGTTACGCACGTGCGAACAGTCAGCAAGAATATTTCGAAATAACCTTTTTTTACGTGTACACATATATATAATATTCGTATACATAACGTCGTGTAATTGTATCGTTCGAGTATTACTGACAGGGGTCGTCGGATATTTCTGTGGTATCGCAACACGATTTGCTTTCATCCTAACCTCTCAGTTTCATATTTTCGGTTACATGGTTTAAACGTCGTCGTTGTGTCGCACGTTTCTGTGGATTAAAGAGTCTGTCGGGAATCTTCTGCCTCGGAATACATTAATTCGCGGACAGTGTGTGCGTGCTAGTGAATATTTTGCTGCTTATGCGAAATGTATAAAAGGCATTGAACGTTTCTAAAAATAGTGTATAAAGTAATGGTTTTTTACAAGGATCAGTATGATACATCTGGCGTGCTTGTATTATTAACGTGGACACATGAATGTACGTTCGAGCAAGAGGACGAATAATATCTCGAGTGTTTATCCGTAATTTTTTTTTTATTTAAAATGAACGATTTCAATTCTATACTTTATCGGACTAAAATCTCTCTGCAGCAAAGGTGCAAATGTGAAAACGATCAGTTTTTAAATCTCTTTAAAAGAAGATATTAACAGCGCTTTACGTTTAAACGCGAGAAAGATACGAACGTACGAAAGTTTTCGAGCCAATTTCTTTGTGTATACTCGTCAACATGGGGAACAAAAAGAAGGGTAAGTTCATAATTATCTACTCAAATACGATACGAACACGAGAGAAGTTTTCGGCGCATGGTGTATTAATTTTTCAATCGAGTTGTACGTGGATTATTTCATCGCACAGAAGAATATTATAATCCTAGGTATTTCCAAAGGCAACGCACGAATATTCGTTAGGTCAGATTTTTCGTCTTTCATGTGTGTCGAATTAGATACTTGGCTAGTTCGAGTGACGTAACACGACGAGGTCGTACTAGGATTCTTTGATCGTATCCGTAGTCGAGGTGAAATAGTATTCGAAAAATATTGAGAATAAACCGGGATACAGACATTTTGTAATCTATCGGAATGCACGATCCCAATGTGAACGGGCCTTTCCGCATTGATTGAAACGCTGGGTACAGGAACTCCGAAAGGAGCTTCGTGCCAGACGGTGACATCATCGTATGAAAAGGCGCGAAATCTACCGAAGGTACACGAGCATTGACGATCGTATGGCTGGAGGGAGGATCCCGGTTCCTTTCCTCATCGAACAACGAATTTCCTCCAGTAGCCAGCACGTGCTGTGCTAGCCGGGCGTATTTTTACTCCGTTTTGCCCATTTCCCCGTTTCCTTTTATAACTTTTTTAACTCAAGAATTGTATATTTATAATTACACAATAAGTACATATTTAAACTCACTATCATTTCAATTTTATTCGCTTTTAATTTCTATACACTACCACGTAACGAATACGCTTATTATATTGCGTCTTACTGCAGTCTGTTCCTATAAGACTTTTATACATCTCGCGATATTCCGAGGAATTTGTACATAATATCTTTTATTTAATTGTAACGAGCGCCCTTTACACGCA